TTTTTTTTTTTTTTTTTTTTTTTTTTTTTTTTTTTTTTTTTTTTCCGGTGCTTGTTGTCGGTTTGTCTGTTTCAAATGATCAAACAAAATATTGAAAGTTATTAGTCTGCTGGATTTTAGTGTAGAAAAGAAAGGGAAGTGAAGCTGAAGTAAAAATTGTACGGACGTTGAGGTTTGAATCACATTGCGAAAGTTACTGATTCTTTCACTTGTCTTTAGTTGATTCGATAGTGAAGAATGCGTTAAAGGGTCTACAGTTTTACTCATGACCTTTGGTATGATTTGTTTTGGCTTGTATTTTTTTTTTTGTCTTTATGCTTGAGTTATTTAACTAGGTGGTTCAAACAGATTAAGTGACATTGTATGCCTTGTTTTCTGTGTTTTAGTTACTCATATAATGTGTAAACTATGGGAAAATTGTGACTTGCTATTCATTTTCAAAATGTAATTCCTAGTATCTAATTGTAGAAAGGAATCCAGCATGTTTGCCAGTCCAGCTGATATTTATATTCTGCCTCATAAACAGCATCTCGTTTTCGCAATTTATAGATGACGCTATTTAAGTTTCCTCACATTGTTTGTTTTATCAGATTTCTGTAGCCTTTTGCTGTCACATATCTTTTGATGCCTGCTCTTTGTACTTTAACAATTTTCTTTCTTGTTTTCTTGAGAAATTATTTTTTTCATGTTCACTTTTATTGTAGCGCAGAAAAAAATGGCTATGGAGATCACTCAATTTCTATTGGCTGCTCAATCGGCTGATGCAAACGTGCGTACTGAAGCAGAGGCTAACCTTCGGCAATTCCAAGAGCAAAATATTTCTGCTTTTCTTCTATCCTTATCGTTTGAGCTTGCAAACAATGAGAAACCTACTGAATCCCGTAGGTTGGCTGGTATTGTGCTTAAGAACTCATTAGATGCTAAAGATGCTGTTATGAAGCAGGGCCTTGCACAACAATGGATGCAAATTGATCTTTCTATCAAGTCCCAGATCAAGGACGTCCTTTTAGGTACTCTTGGCTCACCTGTGCCAGAAGCAAGGCATACTTCTGCACAAGTTGTTGCTAAAATTGCGTCTATCGAGATTCCTCAGAAGCAATGGCCTGCATTAATTGGGACATTGCTTGCAAATATGACTCAGAGAGATAGTCCTGCTGGTTTGAAACAGGCAACCCTGGAGGCTCTGGGATACGTGTGTGAGGAGATATCCCATACGGATCTTGAACAAGCTGAAGTAAACAACGTTCTTACTGCTGTGGTCCAGGGCATGAATTTTTCTGAGAACAGTGCTGAAGTCCGTCTTGCTGCAACAAAGGCGTTGTACAACGCCTTGGATTTTGCGGAGACCAACTTTCAGAATGAGATGGAACGCAATTACATAATGAAGGTGGTTTGTGACACAGCCATCTCTAAGGAGGTTGAGATTAGGCAGGCTGCTTTCGAGTGTCTCGTTTCGATAGCATCAACATACTATGAGGTGCTTGAACCTTATATGCAAGCTCTCTTTGAGCTCACATCAAATGCTGTTAAGGGTGACGAGGAGGCTGTTGCCCTTCAGGCAATTGAGTTTTGGAGCTCTATTTGTGACGAAGAGATAGAGCTTCAAGAGTTTGAGAGTGCTGATAGTGGGGACTCTGGATCTGCCCATTCCCACTTTATAGAGAAGGCTTTGGCATCTTTAGTACCAATGTTGCTGGAAACCTTGCTTAAGCAGGAAGAAGATCAAGACCAGGATGATACCATTTGGAATGTATCCATGGCTGGTGGGACATGTTTAGGTCTTGTTGCCAGGACTGTTGGTGATGCTATTTTGCCCCTTGTAATGCCCTTCGTGGAGGGTAACATTATGAAGCCAGACTGGCGATGCCGTGAGGCCGCTACGTATGCATTTGGATCCATCTTGGAAGGCCCCACGCTTGAGAAGCTCTCCCATCTGGTCCATTCTGGTTTGGATTTCTTGCTTAGGGCAATGAAGGATGAGAATAACCATGTCAAGGACACAACTGCTTGGACTCTCAGTCGGATTTTTGAGTTATTGCACAATCCTGCTGCTGGTTATTCTGTGATATCCCCTGAGAATCTTCAACAAGTTTTGCAAGTGTTGTTGGAAGGTATTCAGGATGCACCAAATGTAGCAGAGAAAGTCTGTGGGGCCATCTATTACCTTGCCCAGGGATATGAAGATGCTGGACCCAGCTCCTCTATGTTGACACCATTTGTTCCAAGCATCATTGATTGTCTTCTTAAAACTGCCAATTGTGCAGATGGTGGCGACTCAAAGCTCCGGTCATCTGCATACGAAACCTTGAATGAGGTAGTCAGGTGTTCAAATATCACAGAAACATCAAGCATCATTGCACAACTGCTTCCTGTTGTGATGGACAAGCTGGGGCAGACTATAGAACTTCAGATAGTATCATTGGATGACAGGGAAAAACAAGGAGACTTGCAAGCTTCTCTTTGTGGGGTTCTCCAAGTTATTATCCAAAAACTCAGCAGCGTTGATGAAACTAAGAACATTATTTTGCAGGCTGCGGATCAGATTATGACCTTGTTTCTTAAGGTGTTTGCTTGCCGTAGCTCTACAGTGCATGAAGAGGCAATGCTTGCAATCGGTGCGCTGGCTTATGCCACCGGATCAGAGTTTGGGAAGTATATAACAGAATTCTACAAGTATTTGGAGATGGGATTGCAGAATTTTGATGAGTACCAAGTGTGTGCCATTACAGTTGGAGTGGTGGGTGATATATGCCGTGCCTTGGATGCCCAGGTACTACCATATTGTGATGGGATTATGAACCACCTGATCAAAGATCTTTCTAGTGAAGAACTGCATCTTTCAGTGAAGCCTCCCATCTTCTCTTGCTTTGGGGACATTGCTCTTGCAATAGAAGAACATTTTGAGAAGTATGTCCCTTATGCGCTGCAAATGATGCAGGGAGCTGCTGAGCTCTGTGTTAGGATGGACACCACTGATGATGAGCTGATAGACCACTCGAACCAGTTGAAGCGTAGTATCTTTGAAGCTTATTCTGGTATTTTGCAGGGATTCAAGAATTCAAAGCCCGAGATAATGTTGCCATATGCCCAACATATCTTACAGTTCATAGAAACAGTTTTCAGAGACAAACAAAGGTCCTTATTCTCTATTATTTCTATTTCTTTTCCTGCCTCCCAAAACTAGTAGATTGCCCTGTTTCTGACTTTCTGGTAATTATAAAATCTCATTCTTTTTGCCGCCTTGTTGTCTTTTTGCAGGGATGAGAATGTAACAAAAGCTGCTGTTGCTGTGATTGGTGATCTTGCAGATGCACTTGGTTCAAAAATTAAGATACTCTTCAGAGAACGAGCCTTTTACGTTGAGTTTTTGGGTGAGTGTCTTCAATCGGACGATGAACAGCTCAAGGAGACGGCAACTTGGACTCAGGGGATGATTGGACGTGTCGTTTCTTGAGCTGAAACCAGTCTCTTTCCTATGTTTGTCTTTGTTTTTCAGTTTAGTTTTTGGCTCCAGACTTCTTGTGTCAATTGCAAATCAATTTTGAGCGATGAATTTTTTGGGGAAGGGAAAATTAGCGGTATGGGTAGAAAAAAATTTATGAATCGTTGGTATATATGTGCACCACAAGGTGAAGGTGGTGTTGCTTTTATTTTGGAACTAATGTTTAGTGTAATGTATCCACTGATCAGTGGGTTCTTGTGTCATTATTATGTTCTTTCTTCACTTTTCTTTGAAGTTCCCTCAAATGCTGAAATGCCTTTACTTGGATGAAAATCTTTAGTTAGTAGATTAATCATGGCATTAACGTTTGAGAAAAGAAAATAGTTTTTCACCATTAAAGTGATCCATCTCTTCACAAGTTAGGCATACAAATTTAAAGCTCATTTGTTCTATTACGCAAGGTTTGCGTTATTTGAATATTGCTATGGTCTCTAATTGGCAACTGCCTTGAAAATTCTTATTTAAGGATCTATTGCTTTGAAACTAACATGTAACTATATTGTTATCTTCCGGTTTTCTTCATTTGAAGTTTCTTTGCTCAGCTTATTGAATTTGAAAGTTAATTGATGGTTTCCAGAAGTTTCTTTTTCTTGTTTTAATTTCTGCTGCAAGTTACATCTCAACTTATTTTTATCTCATTATATTTCGGTGTAGCATAATTCTGCAGCAGTAACTCGCCAATAGAGAATATGTTGGGAATGATGTCTTTAAAGCATAAGGTGTAATAAGAATATTTTATTATTTGATTAATAAAATAGTTTATTTAATATTTATGTGCATGTATTATTAAATACTTTATGAATATCATTGAAAATTTTATGATTATTTAGGTAATCTTAAATGTTGTATATAAGTGTTATATACAAGAGAATAATATTTAAGGATAATAATCGAAACGTTAATTAAAGTTTTAGAATTTTTAATTAAAACATTACTAATACATGCCATTCCCATTAAGAATGGAATGATGTTATCCACATCATTAATATAGAGGGATATTGAATAAGTGTATTATGCATAATGAGATTACACAAAATTAGGACACAGACACAATTTGATTTTCTGATAATTTCGGTTAAATGTAGAAAATTAAATTTGAGTTTACCGATAGTCATATATAGAATGATCTCAATCCTGAGTTGTTAGTAGACTCGTATTTGTGGATTCGTTTTCTTTGATTTACTCGGTACAGATTTTGAGATACTAAATCCTACTCATTGTATCTTGGGAACATGACAAAATTGATAGCCGAAAATGCTAATATACAAGATGAAATCCATTCCTTCTTCTTTGAAGAAGCAGAAAAATAATTCACTTGAGGGTTGAATGTGTTTTTATGAATATACTATTCATTAGAGAATCAATGATACTCAAGGATAAAGATGTAATTAGAGAGGTTAGTGGATTTTACCTAGTTCTAATTATGAATAATTTATGGAGAATCGATCTATATGTAGTGACTATATAAAATGGATACTTCAAGTTCTTAGAAGTAATTATGTTTATAATTTCGAGAGTGCAATTCTAAGTTTTTAGTAAAATAATTTTTAGAATTAATAGAATTAATTTATTAATTAAAGAGTTTAATTAATTATTAATTTCATTGAAGCTCAGAATTATAGGTCCATAAGTCCCCGCGTCATCCTTGTATTATTTGCAAGAGAACATGAATTATCGGGATTTTATATCACTCGCGACTAATTAATTAAGAATTAATTATTTTGTCACACACTGTGGTGGGACCACAGGGGGCGTGTGTCACTGAGAAAATACACACTGAGATTTAGTTGCTTCTTCTACAAGTAATCCGGTTTACTTGTTTGACAAGTAAAAGGTTAACTTGTTTGACAAGGTTTACTTGTTGGATAGAGTTTAGTTGTATGACAAGTAATTTCAAAGGAGAAGTAAAGCTTTACTTGTTTGACAAGTAAAAGGTTTACTTATTGGACAAAGTTTACTTGTATGGCAAGTAATTTCAAAGGAGAAGTAAAGCTTTACTTGTTTGATAAGCTTTGGTTTAACTTGTTTGACAAGTTTTGGTTAAACTTGTTTGACAAGCTTTAATTTAACTTGTTTGACAAGCTTTGGTTTAACTTGTTTGACAAGCTTTGGTGTAACATGTTTGACAAGTTTTTCCAAAGGAAGAAGAAAAAGCTTCTCTTGAATTGTTTATAAATAAGCGACAATAGTAAATTGGAAATAAGAGGTGATAGAAAAGTTTTTTTCTCCCTAATTCACAAGAGTTGGCTGAATTTTAAGAGAGAAAAGAGAATAAAAGTTCTTTCAATTTTTTCAATACTTTCACATACATACGTTGATAGTGAAAGAGTACAAATTATTAAGTGATCCGATAATTACCTTGAGCCCACACTTTACGTCTTGCAAGTTTCAAGGAGTAGACGAGGAAGACTTGGGTTTTCTAAGAAAGGTTTGGAGCGAGAATCGTTCGTTGGCCAAAGACTCCAAGTTATCATCCTAATCGTCGGCAAGGTATCAATTGTTATAAATTAATGAGATTAATTTATTATTGCATAAATTAATATAATCTATAGCGTCCGTAAAAGTTTTGTGAAAATTTTGGTTCGGACCCGATCCGCATTACCACGTTTCCGCACCCGAATTTGATTCAAAAACCAACAATTGGTATCAGAGCGGTCTATAGACAATATTCATTTATGCATGATGGTGATGTGGACTTGACCTCGGGAAGCGAAGAGTTGTATTTTCTCTTCTCTTAGGCACTTCATGCGCTCTGGTTCAATCAAGGAAGGAGCAAAATGTGATAGCTCATTGAACTTAGCTTCGTATTCCCTCACCATCATATCCCCTTGCTTTAGGCCCATGAATTCCATGACTTTTTCATCTCGATAACTTTGGGAAAAGAATTGCTCATTAAAGAGTGCTTCGAATTGTTCCCAAGTCATCCCCTCTACATCATGCATTCGCCGGATATGCTTCCACCACGCACCTGCAAGACCTTTAAACTTAAAAACTGCTGATTAGTGCATAAAAATACACTCTAAATACTGCTTTTGATTTATATAATATTAAAATATTTAAACTTTAATTAAACAATTCCATTATTTTTATTCATAATATTTTTAATTGGAATTTGTCTAGTTTTTGCTTAATTATTTATTGATGAAAGCAGTGTAAAAAACTACACAAGAATAAGCCATGAAAGCCATATTTTTAAGCCTTTCAGCCGAGCCACACGAGCCAGAGGGAGAGTCGCGTCAGCCGAGCCGAGCCACTATCTTTTCCCTTCGCGTGGGCCCCAGCCCTTCCTCTCTTCCCGACTCTTCCTCGCGCGCATCACCAGCACGCCTCCTCTCAGTGCGCGCGTAACTTCCATGCAAACGTTAGCGCGCGTCCAAGGCTTAATCCGCGTGGGTCCCGCGTCTGCGTTGCCAGCCTGAGCTTCCAGTGAAACCGCACCAGCTGTCAACTGGGTCCCAGCTGTGTCCAACGCCAGCAGACTTCCTCCATTCCGCGCGCGACACATGACAGTTCTGTTCCGTTCCTCCAACCAAGCTTCGACATGTGTCTTCTAGATGCTGAATCCGAATTCTCCCCCAAAAATCAGAGCAAATTACAAGATTTCTTCCCCAAATCAAATATATGATTTCTCCTAATTTATGTGTAATTTTATTTTGTTTCCCTTTCTTTTTTAATTTTCTATTTTTATTGTTTGTTTCCTTATTTGACAAGCAACCTCTAAACACTATAAATAGAGGGGTTAGCCTAAGGTTTTTGGAAGTTTAGAATATTCAGTTTTCTGTCGTCTTGCTGTCAGTCTCATATTTTCTCTCTAGAACTTGTGAGAATGTTTTGCAAGCTAGGCTAGAGTTTTCTTGGTGAGGTTAGGGATGAACTTCTGTTGAGAGACCCAATTCGGGGTTTTGATTCCTTGTGCTGTAAAGTTCAACATTTGAATGAATTAAATCTCATCTATTTTTTTATTACTTTTCAAAATATTGTGTGCCAATTTTTATATAAGTTCAGTGACGCTTTTCTTATGTAATTATGTCACACATTGTTTTGTCATTCAAATTATTTTACAAATTGTCTTTTACTGCAATATTGTCGGATTGATATATTGTCGATTTTAGATAACTTGTAATAATAATATTTCTGGAGTCAACATACAGATTTAATTTATTCGGTTATTTAATATTGTGAATCAAAACTTGGATTGGTGAACGAAACATTAGGGATTCTCGACACCTTACCGTTTTAATTATTGAATTTTCTTCATACAAATTCCCTCATTTCTATTTTATTTGCAACAAATCTCAAAAACTATTCTTTTTCTTTAATTCACTTTTCTCTAACGCTCTTATTCTGTTAGTCTTTCTTGTTATTTTGTTATCTCTCTGTGGATACGTCCGCCCTTCTGTGCTACAATTGACCGCTTGTGAACATCACTTTTGGGCGTGAATTAAATTTTGGCGCCGTTACCGGGGAGATGTTACTAACAAGAGTGATCAGTAGATTTTGAGCCAAAGTGGTAAGTACATATTCTCTGTATTTTTATTTTACTTTATTTTTTTCTTTGGTTTGCGTGATCTGCCTTTCTTTGTCTTTCTTTTGTTTTTCTTGTGTTCTTTCTTGCTCTATTCTTGTCGTTTATTTAAAAAAGTGCTGCAAACTTTTGCATTTTTTTTTGTACCGTCCCTTATTCAAAAAAAAAAAACTTCTTTTAGTTTTCGTGACTTGATTGTTAGTATATATATATATATATATATATTTATATAAAAAATTTTTTGTTGTTGTATTCCTTTCTTTCTTACTTTTCTCACGTTCTCACGTTCTTCATTTTTTTTTTCTGTAGTCTTGTTACTAAAAAAAAAAAAAAATCTCACACTTTTAGGATTTGTGTTTTAGAATTAATTGTGATTTGATTTTGTAATCTTTTATTTTTGGTAAATTAAGATTTTATTTTGTTTCCTCATTTGTATATTTTAATTGTTGCCTAATTTAATTTTTCCTTTTATAGTTTCATTAATTTTTAGGATTATAATTAAGATGGTAATTAATTGACTAATTCAGATTCCTAATTTAGGATTTTCATAATTTGGTATTTTTAGGTTTTTGACTTTAGGAATAGTTTCCATTAATTAGATTACATTTCATAATTTAATCAATAAAATTTAATAATTGATTTTGAGAATAATTGTGTGGTTACGTGGAAAGTATAATCTGAGGGAGTTCTGTCTAGGAAAGTTGGTACTTAAGCAGGCCTCACCCCACCAATCTTTCCTAGGAACGTTGCTATGTCTAGGAGACTATTCATTGAGCCAAGAGCTATAGTCTTTCCTGGGAGCACTCTCGGTGGTTACAATTTACGTTGCTATATAATTATTTTCTTTTGTTTTGATTATAAATTTAAAAAAAACAAAAAAAAAAAACAAAAAAAATATTTTAAAGGGCCGCTTAGGGTGAATGCATCGGTATAGAGACGAACTAGGGAGATTTACTCAACGTCCAGATTTAGAAACCCCTATTGAAATTCTATCCGACTCGTCTTCTACGTCTCCGTCTTCGCACTCGTCGTTGGAATTCGTATTTCAAAATCTATTCGCAATGGCACAACACGAGGAAGTTTAGCAGAGGACGTTGCAAGATTACTTGCACCCAACGCGCACGGCCACCCCATCTTGTATCATGTTCCCACCGAATGCACCGCCTACGGATTTCAAGTCGGATATGATTGCACTTCTCCCAACCTTTCACGGATTAGAGAACGAGAATCCATATGTACACATTTGGGAGTTTGAAGAGGTGGTGGCCACCTTTCACAGCCGTGCTGAGGCCGCAAACACTGTCAGATTGAAGTTTTTCCCTTTCTCTCTGAAGGACAAGGCTAAAAGCCTGCTGTATTCTCTTAGGCCCAAGTCTATTGGTACGTGGGAAGAAATGACGACGACATTCTTCAACAAGTATTTCCCACACCATAAGACTAATAATTTGAAACGACAGATCTCGAATTTCACTCAGAAGGAAAATGAAACTCTCTATTAAGTTTGGTAGCGTTTTAAAGATCTGTTAAATCTATGTCCCCACCATGGATATGAAAGTTGACGCCTCGTAAGCTATTTCTATGATGGACTCACAATCCGAGAGTGCCAATTTGTTGAGATGATGTGCAATGAGGATTTTCTCCAAAAGGATCCTGACGAAGCTATCGAGTACCTGAATGAGTTAGCTGAGAAAGCTCATACTTGGACTGGACTGAGTGCTACTGAGAGCACTAGTAGGTCCCGACCAGTTGGAGTTTATCAATTAAGAGAAGAGGACAGCCTCAAGGCCCAAGTTGAAGCTTTAACGAAGCAAATTGAGGCCCTCAAAAGTAAAGATAGTAAAGGACCCCATATGGTGGCAAGGACAGAGGCACATGAGCCCTGTTTTGTTTGTGGTGGAATGGGCCATCTAGCTCAAGATTGCCACACTTTAAGTGAAATGAGAAGGGTATATGAGGAGCAATGCAATGCATTGGGCACATACAATAAGCCTTATGGACCTTTCTTAAACACTTATAATGATAGCTGGAAACACCACCCAAACATCAGTTGGAGAGATCCAAACCAACATGCACAATCATCTGGAGGGCAATGGAGATCAGAGCAACAATCTCAACCACCAAGGACATATTTTGCGCCTCAGACTAACATGCAGCCGAAAGGGAATTCTTTAGAGGATACCCTAAAAGCTTTTATGGATGCGTAAAATAAGACGAATCAAAGAGTTGATTCAATGCTCACACAGCTGGTGGAAGAGAACAAGGAAATAAAAAGTCAAATCACAAAGCTGACAGAAGCTTTAACCATTCAAGAGCGCGGTAGATTTCCATCATAAGCCCAGTCCAATCTGAGAGGACAAAACATGGCTCAAACTTCCAACTCCAAAGGTCAAAATATCAAGAAAGTTAACGCCATCTCTACTCGAAGTGGTAAGAATTCACACACGCCATTGACAAATAGTACCACTTCGAGTAATAAAGAATCGGCTCAGAAGAAAGAAGAGCCAACAAAAATTTCGGTAAAGGTGCCTTTTCCCCAAGCTCTCCGACCTGCTGGGAAAGTGCCAGAAAATCAAAGTGAGATCCTGGAGCACTTGACACAATTGAAGATTAATCTTCCCTTACTACACGTAATCAAGCAAGTGCCGGCCTATGCCAAGGTTATCAAGGATCTGTGCACCATAGAGAGAAAGCACCACGTCAAGAAGATTGCATTCTTGACGGAACAAGTGAGCACGATGATTGAGCAAAGACACCGCCGAAGTATAAAGATCCAGGTTGTCCTACCACTTCTTGCCAGATCGGGACACATGAATTCGGCCAAGTGTTACTAGACCTAGGATCAAGCGTGAACCTCATGACTTATTCGGTCTACTCGTAATTGGGTCTTGGAGAGATTAAGCCCACATCTGTGGTTCTGCAACTGGCCGATAGATCCATTAAGAGACCACGGGGAATAGTGGAAGATGTTTTGTTGCAAGTCGACAAGTTTTATTACCCCGTGGACTTTTTTGTCTTGGATACACAATCCGTGGTGAATATGGAGTCATCCATTCCCATCATTCTGGGAAGACCTTTTCTTGCCACAGCAAACGCACTTATCAATTGTAGGAATGGTCTCACGAAGATATCTTTCGGGAATATGACCCTTGAGGTGAATATTTTTCATATTCAAAAGCAACCACGCGATGGCGACGAGTGTCACCAAACATTTATGATTGACACACTTGTCGAGGAGGAGGTTCTGCCGCAAAGTAACTTTAAAGATCTTAAAAATCTCTTCCAAAATTCTGAATATGAGAGTTCCGATCCTTGTGAGGTGGCTACCATTCCTGCCATTTTCAAAGAATCACAGGACAGAGGAACTAAGTTTGGGTCACCATGTTTTCAGGAGCTCCCAACAGAAGGAGAAAAACCGAAATCATCCACTGAGGAGGCTCCAAAAGTCAAGCTAGCCCAACCACCTGAGGGCTTAAAACATGCATTCTTGGGAGATGAAGACACATTCCCAGTCATCATCTCATCTAAACTCAATCCATTGCAAAAACAACGATTGATCAACATGCTGAAAGAGCGCAATTCTAGGATCAAGGTAAAAATGAAAGCGGCTCATGATAAGCAGATCCTAAGGAAGAATTTCGAGCCAAATCAACGGGTTCATCTCTATGATTCCCGTTTACATCTCTACCCCGGTAAGTTGAGGTCGCGGTGGACTGGCATGTTCGTAGTAAAATGCATTTTCCCAATGGTGCTGTTGAGGTTGAGAACCCGACCGATGGGAGAATATTCAAAGTAAATGGCCAGCGTCTGAAAAATTACTTAGAGCGGGTGAACCAGGTTGAAGAGATCATTCTCAACGACCCTATTTACCAGCCCTGAGTAGTTTGCTCACATATCCTGTACCATATTTTCATTTTCTGTTTTCTTTGTTTCTTTTTACATTTTTTTTATGTGTGTTTTTGGATAATCATATTAGGAAGCTCAAGCTGTGCTCATATGTGGAATGCCCATCGTCCATGTGTCTTCTTTCTCTATATTTCCATAATTTTTGACACTGAGGATACTGTCTGATTTTGGTTGGGGGTGGTGAGCATATTTATGCGTAAGAGTGATTTTTGTCATGTTGATATTTGGGTTAAAATTTTTTGTAAAGTTGTCTGAGTATGATTCAAAATGATTAGTTTGGGTCGATTTTTGCTATCTTGGTTACTAAGAAATGACTTCAAAAGTTTCTTTTTACACGTGCTAAACCTTGTGGTAAGATGGATGTTAATGCATGTCAGCTGAGAAAATTCCCGAGTTTAAGTGCTTGATTTTTGGTGAGTCAAGAGAGTAGAGAAAATGACTTTTGAACTTTCATTGATCTTTTGAGCTGGTAAAATCACTATTAGAACATCATTACATGGTTAGTGGTATGCTTGGTGCATATTCTTGAGGGATGGATTTTGGGTTAGATAGGAATGATCTTATGTAATAGAGCCTCATTTCTTATTTTTCTTTAAAAAAAAAAAAAAACTGAGCAAGAGCAACATTTCACAGATCCTGTAGTTTGGTGTTAATCACATTCGATGCTATATAGCTGTTTGTTAAAAGAACACCTTTCTACATTCACTTCAGGTTGTCTCTTGCCAAAAAAACAAAAAAAAAAACAAAAAACAAAAAACAAAAAACAAAAAAAAAAAGTAATTTTTCTATGCATTTTTTTTTCTTTGGCTCTTTTATCATTTCTGTAAATTTCTGTTTGACCCGAATGAAATTCCAAGAGTCAGTTGTGGTAAGAATGGTGGAATGTTCTAGTTGTTGATTAACCTATCTTTTGGTCAATGTTCGTTTGACTGTTTGTCCTAAATTTGACATTCCTTACACTGAGCGTTGATTGTTCCGCTTCCAACTCCATGAGAGAAAACCTTTACACTCAAATATTTCTGACACCCGTGAGATCAATGGAGTTGAGACTTTTACTTGGTGAATTTTTCAAAGTTGTATGTGTTATGGTCAGTGGTAAGAAGGTTATGGTTTAGAGCACACACACACGACTCTGGAGTTATGACTAAAATAATCTTGATAGTATCTTTTGACTTCTTACTGACAGTTTGTTTGAAATACCAAGGTGACTAAGCTAGTTGAGACTCAGATTTTTTTTGTGACATGATTTCTCTTGTGCTTCGATTGCTAGAGACTAGCAATAAGCTGGTTGGGGATTGTGATGAGTGCATAAAAATACACTCTAAATACTGCTTTTGATTTATATAATATTAAAATATTTAAGCTTTAATTAAACAATTCCATTATTTTTATTCATAATATTTTTAATTGGAATTTGTCTAGTTTTTGCTTAATTATTTATTGATGAAAGCAGTGTAAAAAGCTGCACAAGAAGAAGCCATGAAAGCCATATTTTTAAGCCTTTCAGCCGAGCCACACGAGCTAGAGGGAGAGCCGCGTCAGCCGAGCCGAGCCGAGCCACTGTCTTTTCCCTCCGTGTGGGCCCCAGCCCTTCCTCTCTTCCCGACTCTTCCTCGCGCGCGTCACCAGCACGCCTCCTCTCAATGTGCGCGTAACTTCCACGCAAACGTTAGCGCGCGTCCAAGGCTTAATTCGCGTGGGTCCCGCGTCTGCGTTGCCAGCCTGAGCTTCCAGTGAAACCGCGCCAACTGTCAACCGGGTCCCAGCTGTCTCCAACGCCAGCAGACTTCCTCCATTCCGCGCGTGACACATGGCAGTTCTGTTCCCTTCCTCCAACCAAGCTTCGACACGTGTCTTCTAGATGCTGAATCCGAATTCTCCCCTAAAAATCAGAGCAAATTACCAAATTTCTTCCCCAAATTAAACATATGATTTCTCCTAATTTATGTGTAATTTTATTTTATTTCCCTTTCTTTTTTAATTTTCTATTTTTATTGTTTGTTTCCTTATTTGACAAGCAACCTCTGAACACTATAAATAGAGGGGTTAGCCTAAGGTTTTTAGAAGTTTGGAATATTCAGTTTTCTGTCGTCTTGCTGTCAGTCTCATATTTTCTCTCTAGAACTTGTGAGAATGTTTTGCAAGCTAGGCTAGAGTTTTCTTGGTGAGGTTAGAAATGAACTTCTGTTGGCGACCCAATTTGGGGTTTTGATTCCTTGTGCTATAAAGTTCAACATCTTAATGAATTAAATCTCATCTATTTTTTTATTACTTTTCAAAATATTGTGTGCCAATTTTTATATAAGTTCAGTCACGCTTTTCTTATGTAATTATGTCACACATTGTTTTGTCATTCAAATTATTTTACAAATTGTCTTTTACTGCAATATTGTCGGATTGATATATTGTCGATTTTAGATAACTTGTAATAATAATATTTCTGGAGTCAACATACAGATTTAATTTATTCGGTTATTTAATATTGTGAATCAAAACTTGGATTGGTGAACGAAACATTAGGGATTCTCGACACCTTACCGTTTTAATTATTGAATTTTCTTCATACAAATTCCCTCCTTTCTATTTTATTTGCAACAAAATCTCAAAAACTATTCTTTTTCTTTAATTCACTTTTCTCTAACGCTCTTATTCTCTTAGTCTTTCTTGTTATTTTGTTATCTCTCTATGGATACGACCGCCCTTCTGTGCTACAATTGACCGCTTGTGAACATCACTTTTGGGCGTTAATCAGCTGCGAACTCCACCCAATACTCAGCCGGTACTCCCATGGTACTTAGATGCCTAGACACCGATTCGAACCAACACTCGGCTTCCTGGGGCCCACCCGCGCTAGTGAATGTGGGAATTAAGCTACGCCTATACTCATGGAAGTAATTCTATTTTCTGTCATCCTCAGAATCTTTAATTAAAACATTACTAATACATGTCATTCCCATTAAGAATGGAATGATGTTATCCGCATCATTAATATAGAGAGATATTGAATAAGCGTATTATGCCTAATGAGATTATGCAAAACTAGGACAGAGACACAATTTGATTTTCTGATAATTTCCATTAAATGTAGAAAATCAAATTTGAGTCTACCGATGGTCATATATAGAATGAACTCAATCCTGATTTGTTAGTAGACTCCTATTTGTAGATTCCTGTTCTTTAATTTACTTGGTACGGATTTCGAGATACTAAATCTGATTCCTTGTATCTTGAGAACATGATGAAATGGATAGCCGGGAATGCTAATATACAAGATGGAATCCATTCATTCTTCTTTGAAGAAGCAGATAAATAATTCCCTTGAGGGTTGATTCGGTACTTGAATAAGTAACGAGCTCGTATTCATGAATGTGTTTTATGAATATACTATTCATTAGAGAATCAATGGTACTTAAGGATAAAGATGTAATTAAAGAGGTTAGCGAATTTTACCTAGCTCTAATTATGAATTATTTATGGAGGATCGATCTATATGTAGTGACTATATAAAATGGACACTTCAAGTTCTTAGAAGTAAATTATGTCTATAATTTATAGAGTGTAATTCCAAGTTTTTAGTGGAGTAACTTTTGGAATTAATAGAATTAATTTATTAATTAAAGAGTTTAATTAATTATTAATTTTATTGGAGCTCAGAATTATAGGTCCATAAGTCCACACGTCATCCTTGTATTATTTGCAATAGAACATGAATTATCGGGATTTTATATCACTTGCGAATAATTGATTAAGAATTAATTATTTTGTCACACATTGTGGTAGGACCACAGGGGGCTTGTGACACTGAGAAAATATACATTGGAATTTAGTTACTTCTTCTCCAAGTAATCCTGTTTATTTGTTTGACAAGTAAAAGGTTAACTTGTTTGACAAGTAAAAGGTTAACTTGTTTGACAAGGTTTACTTGTTGGACAATGTTTACTTGTATGACAAGTAATTCTAAAGGAGAAGTAAAGCTTTACTTGTTTGACAAGAAAAAGCTTTACTTGTTTGACAAGAAAAAGCTTTACTTGTTGGACAAGGTTTACTTGTATGACAAATAATTCCGAAGGAAAAGTAAAGCTTTACTTGTTTGATAAGCTTTGGTTTAAGTTATTTGACAAGCTTTGGTTTAACTTGTTTGACAAGCTTTTGTTTAACTTGTTTGACAATCTTTTGTTTAAATTGTTTGATAAGTTTTTCTAAAGGAAGAAGAAAATGGTTCTCCTAAATTGTCTATAAATAGGAGACAATAGTAAATTAGAAATAAGAGGTGGTAGAAAAGTTTCTCTCTCCCTAATTCACAAGAGTTTGCCAAATTTGAAGAGAGAAAAAAGAAGAAAAGTTCTTTCAATTTTCTCAATTCTTTCATATACATGCGTTGATAGTGAAAGAGTGTAAATTATTGAGTGATCCGATAATTACCTTTAGCCCACACTCTACGTCTTGCAAGTTTCAAGGAGTAGATGAGGAAGCCTTGAGTTTTCTAAGAAAGTTTTGGAGCAAGGATCGTTCGTTGGCCAAAGACTCCAAGTTATCATCTTAATTGTCGGCAATGTATCAATTGTTATAAATTAATGAGATTAATTTATTATTGCATAAATTAATATAATCTATAGCGTCTGTAAAAGTTTTGTGAAAATTTTTGTTCGGACCCGATCTGTATTATCACATTTTCGCACCCGAATTTGACTCAGAAACCAACAGAATACTGATAAATTTGGGGAGGCAAAGCATTCTCTCTCTCTCTCGATATATAGATCTCTCACGAAGTATACAGCCTGTAATGGTAGACCAACTAAGAGGGAGAGAAAGCATTCTCGCAACCTTAAGATATAGATCTCTCACGAAGTTGATAGCTTGTAAATAGTAGACCAACTAATGAGCAACTTTATCATACCACCAAATAACTAGTTGATGTTGCTATTTACTCCCTGTTAATCATAGAAAATTCTTTTTGGATGTATCTTTATTGATTGCTTATTGGACTTTCTTTTTCAATTTGGAAATTCTTTTGTGTTTCCTTCTAAGCTTCTTCCCATAACTATTCCAACTTAGTTGTATGTAACAATTATGGGATATTTGAAGAATAGTCATAACAAGGCCTATAACTATTACATTTTATGAACTTGATAGGGAAAGGTTTGCAATTGAGAACTCAAAAAACTTGAATGGAAAATTTTATTGACGCTGTTTTGCATGAGTCCAAAACACTCCAGATTTGTTCTTATTTCAACACTCTAAAAAACAACATACATACATACATATATATATATATATATATATATATATATATATATATATATAGGGATGTGATTCCAACCGGCCGGCTGTATGGTTCAACCTTTTAATCTGGCCTGTTCATTTCAATATCAACGGTCAAGACTTGTCAAGGGGTATTTAGCCCTACGTCCATTGATTGAGCTGGTAACGGGTTAATGTCCTTATAATAACAACTCCAAATGATAATTCATTTTGGGAAATTAATATATTGCCTTTCAGAACTCACTTTGTTTCAGGCGGAATACTTTTTAGATCTTTTTAGTACCTCGTAATTGAGAACACTTTTGTGAGCTGACAAATGTGGAATGCTTATTTTATGTTATTTTATTAAAAGAGGAACTCAAAGTAAAAACTTGACTGTAATCCTTAGAAACCATAAGACGAAGATGCAGCTAGTGCAAAGGTTACAACCATGACAAGTAAACATGCCAACAAATTTCCAACAATCCAAAATTTCCAAACCACTTCTCAAATTAGCTAGCAAGAAACAGCACCAAGAACTCAATACAAGTACAGACAATATGATGATAAAGGAGTGTACCGCCTAATTATTAACTCGGTGGGAAACAACCAGTATGAAGTGTTCCACCCATATGGCTACTCTGATTTTGAACTCGATTATGAGGATCTTATCCAAACGTACTGCCCATCATATTAATGTTGGGATTAGGGATGTTACTCCTTCCATCAAATGAAGAAGACGTATACATAAAATCCAATACTACGTAACTTTTAAGATGTAAGAGTAGAATCATCTCTCCAAGAAAAAAAGTTGTCCCATCAATTTGATTCAATTTCATTAAAGATTGATTCGCCAGTTTAAAAATCTTCCAGGCAAATTTCTAATATCTGAACACATTAGTTGATTGGTACACGAAAGAAAACTACACTTGAATCCTAAAATGTAAAGCTCTCTTTTCCTCAAATTGAGTTTGCTAATGACTCACTAGCAAAATAGTCTAGGGTCCTAATGTGCTACAGATTTACATGAAATTTATGGTAGCAGAACAAAAGAACTTCCCTTAAGCCTCACAGCTATGTGACTTCCTAAATAAACCTGCAATCGTAGTTTATCAACCACTCATAAGACCACCGAGATCTTCGACTTAGCTCCCAAAGGTAATCCACCTGGCCCTTTCCCAACCAATACAACGGGAGTGAAAGATAGCGAAAGGTAGACAAAGTCCTAACTAAATCATAACACAAGAACCTCTGTTTACATCATAACACAAGCTACCCTTGCGCAAGTTTCGGTGAGCGGTTGCCCTTCCGGTTCTTCTTGCAGGGGCTGCATGGCTTCTCATTTTTCTTATGCGCTATTCATCAACTCCTGCCAGAACTGGTCCTTGTAGATATGTGACGGGGGCCACCATGGATTAATTAAGAAGATTAAATGTTCTACATGCTCTTCAAGGGTCTGGCTGGAGGGTATTTGACAAGTCTTCACTGAACTGGCTTAGGCTTACTTCTATGGGGTCCGTCTTTCATTTAATTGAATTTCAGTGAGGGGTCACAAGTGAGGGTTGTGGGTAAGGGAGGCTGACAACTATGTATGGCTAGCTCGGGATAGCTGCCGTCGAGAATGTTGCATGTGGGGCCTTACTAGTGAATGGTGTTGAAACCTAGTCTAGCCCTATATAGGAGTGTTGGACCCACAAGCTCTAGTTACGTAAGGGCAAGCATATCTTTGTGTCTGTCCAAGCAAGCATATTTGTGTGCATTGACTGATGGAAGTGGCTAACTTGCGATAGACGAGTGAGTGAGTTCATGGGGATTAGGGGTCTTGGAGTAAGTGGGTTCGATTCCCATAGCCCCAATGAGGCGAATTGGGTTGACCAGGCCAGATATGAGAGAACCAAACGAAAATAAAACTCCAATTGCTTCTTTTTATTATTTGAATTCTCATAAACTTCATTGGCGATTTGGATATATATATATATATTTTTTTTTTTTACTGGGGGGAAACCGGCTTCCCAGACATAGGCGAGCGAGGTCAAGATGGTTCAGGGTTTGAGCTTGATGTCAAATTCATAGAACTTGTCGGATCCCCATCGGGGGTCGGTGGAGCTGTCGTCCGGCATTTATCCCCCGAGATGTTAAAGGAAAAATCCAAGGCAGCCTACCCGACTTCCTTTCGGCCACCCTCAACAACTAACCCGAATCCCCTTCCCTGGGAAGAAAAATGAGAGTTTAGGATAGTTTTTAGAAAAGCCCAGCGCTCGCAAGCTCTAGACTCGGGAACGGTACGTCATCATTTAGTTAGCAATGGAAAACGGTGAAATTGACCTCAATACGCAGGTAGAAATATAACACTAAGCTAAAGGCTTGAGCCTGGGAGAAGGAACGAATATCGCTAAAACCAAAAGTGAGTCCAGATTTTCCTATGTTAAAAAGAGTAACTTTCCTGTTATATTGTATTGATGATACATAGTTACATACGGTCTACCACAACTCATCGTGACCATTCATTCATGTAAAAAAAAAAAAAAAAAAAGCTTAATTTTTTACCATCAACTAAATTTTCCACAAAAAGAGAAATGTACATAGCTATCTGACCAGAAAGAACTTACATGACATATGTCCTCGGGAAAAAAAAAAAATGAAGAAAAAGAAATGTACCCAAGAAGAATGTAATTTTTTATTTTTATTTTCAAGTTTTTGGTGGTAGAAAGAAAAGGGTGAAAGTTGAAAGCATTGCTATCTGCCAGCATCTAAAGAAGCATAAGAGATTGCCCCAAGAGAGGATGACCTATAAGACGTGATCTTGTCACTGGAAAGCCCTTGCATAAACCTAGAGTGAAAATGATTCACACTCTGAGAATCAAAAAGACCCCAATGATCAATCTCCGGAATCTCCTCCTCCCCATTCAGATGCCTTATTACCTGCCTCATACTGGGCCGGGCCTCAGGCTTGTAATGAGAACAAAGAAGGCCCAATTTGAGCACCAACTCCATCTCCTCAACAACAAAACCCAAGCCCAAGTTCAGATCCACTGCGCTCATAAGCCGGCCCAAATGATAACACTCCATGACCCAATCCACCAGGACAAAATGCTCGGGCCCAATGGGCCTCCTTCCAGTTGCCACCTCGAGAAGCAAAGCCCCATAGGCAAACACATCAGTGCTTGTTGAGGCCTTCCCAATGCGGGCTAATTCAGGGGCTATGTACCCAATTGTCCCCACAACTCCAGTGGTATGCGACATTTCACCGTGGTCATGCAATCTTGCCAGACCAAAATCTCCAAGCCTAGCATTCATATCCGAATCGATTAAAACGTTGCTTGATTTTACGTCTCTATGAAGCACAACTTGTTCCCATTCTTCGTGAAGATATAAAAGCCCTGAGGCCACACCTCTTAGGATATTGAACCTTTGTTCCCACCCCAAAACGAAGTCGTTTTTGGGGTGGAAAATAAGGGAGTCCAAGCTTCCATATGGGATATAATCATAGACAATAAGAAGGTGGTTCTTTTTCTTGCACCAACCTTGGAGATTCACCAAGTTCTTGTGCCTCAACCTTCCCAAGCTCTCGATCTCCGCCGCGAACTCCTTCATTCCTTCTTGGCAGCTCCTCGTGATTTTCTTGACGGCAACTTCGCAGCCGGTGGACGGCGAGACTCCTTTGTAAACGGCTCCAAATCCGCCGACCCCGATCACCTCAGTGTCCTTAAACCCTTTGGTGGCAGTATAAAGATCCTTGTAACAAAATCTATGTGGACAATCCAATTCCCAATCTTCAAGCCTCTCGAAGGGCATAATTCTCTTGTATAACGTGAGACAAAAGAGAATAACAAAAAGGGATACGATAATAACCGATAAAGAAGCTATCAAGACCTTGGTACTTAGTTTGAAAGAAGAAGAGTTTTCTTGCTTTGGTGGGGCTGGAAGTTTGGAGAGATTTAATGGCGGGGCTGGTCCATTGATGGAGAAACTCCAACCCGAAAGATAATGATAGCTTGACTTCTTTCCCGTGGAAGAAGAGAAACCAACGAACATGTTCTCAAGCAAAACATCGCTCAAATCATAACCGATTGACAAAAGTGGCGTACTTGGTCGTTTCTCAACCCTAATAGGAGCCACTGTAACATTGATAATCTTGTTTTTACCGTCGTAATCTACCCAAGCTTGGATCAAGTCTCCGCTCTCCAAATCCAAATCTTCTTCGTTCGACACCGAGCCTTCTTTAACGTAACCTGCCGGCTTAGACGCGTTGGAGACCATGCTATTGATGTTGATTCCGACATGGTTTCCTTTCGAATCAGAATTCTCGTTTAGTCCATTAACCGTGTCGAACTCTACCGCGAAAATATGGTTCAACCGGTTTCCGTCGTTTCCAGAGTAGAAGAGTCCGAGATAGTGACCGGCCTCGGCTTTCGGGAAATTGGTCGAAGGTGAAATTGTGAAAGCTATGCCGAAGCCGCCACGGCCAGGGGTAGGAGAGACTATGGCGAAGACGAAGTGGGTGCTGAAAGAGGAAGCTGTGGGGCCTGAAGAAGATGACGAGGAAGTATTGGAGTTTGGGGTGAGCATTTTGATGGGTTTTCGGTAGAAGGTTTGTCCTATGACGTTTTCGGAGAGGTTTGTGATGCGGAGGAGACCGGAGGAAATTATTGAAGCTCCTTTTGTGGTCAGATTGGCTTCTTTTCTATTGAATCCTTCGAAGATGAATTGGAGGTTTTGGGGGTGAGAGGAAGAGATGGGTGAGAGGAAGACTAGGAGGAAGGAAAAGGAGATTGCTAAGGCCATGGCATGAGATTTTTTGAGGATGGGAGAAGAGAAGAATGGGAATGGTGAGAGGAGGAGGTGCACATATAGCTTAGAAGAGAGAGAGAGAGAGAGAGAGAGAGAGAGAGAGAGAGTAGGGAAGACTTGAAGAGTCAAAGTTGAAGAAAATTTACATAGAAAAAAATGTTATATGTCACCTTGAGAAAACTATTGTAATGGACTTCCAATCCAATCATGTTTCGAGTTCAAAGTGGTAATTTAGGCTAATGATTTATTAAGGAGGGGTGCAGATTACAAAAGGCCTCTACTTTGAAAGCTTTGAGATTATTGCTAGTTGTTAATTTGTTGTCTATTCTGCATAATTCGCAGTACAAGCTAATTAGGATTTGAAATTTCATTACAAATCCTGAACTCGGCAAGTATCTACGCCATATTTACAGATGCGGATGAGGATCTTTCTATGTCTATAAGGTTGTTTGTAATCAAAAGGCAAAGATACGTAGTGTATTTTTGTAATTTTCTCCTGGTTGATTAAACTAACTGACATACCTAAATTCCAAAGTCTCATATTCAGAGGAAAAAAAAGGCTATCCACGGTAATAAAGTGCAAATTTTAGGTCGTTAAATCATATATATATATATATATATATATTATGGAACGTTAAATCGTATTGAAATCACATTAAAATGAAAAATTATATAAAATTGATAGTTGAACATATTTTACAGTTTAAATCAAAACTCTATAATACTGCAGGGGTGTAGGGTAGAGTTGTCAAACGTGCCGTGCCGGGCCGGCACGGCACGCTTGACCCCAGGCCCATCACGGGCCTGG